TTATTTTATAGTTGCATATAGATTATTTTTGCAGTTACATCATTTACCTATATTAAAACCTTAGAATAACTATATCCAGCCTTAGAATAATACCTTTTAATTATTAGATTAAAATAGTTTTTTCCTTAAAAGTTTTTCATTATGCCACTGAGAAATGACAAAATCACACTCATACACACTTACACACCTGTACATATTGAGAAAGGAGCACACTGGTGAGGGGAAGCTCATTGCGATGTGGCTACTTTCTGCACCCCAGCTCCCCTTCCCCATGTCCCCACGGTGCATCTGCACCTCTGGCTCTGCTCCACAATGTGCGCAGCTCTTTGGAGAGCAGTGGGATCTTGTACATGGCCACTCCAGAGTCCAAGGGCACCCATCTTGGGCTGTGCCACCTTCCCACTGCAGAAGCCCTCACACCTGCTCACCCCAAGCCCACCGCAGTGTCAGACTTGCTGCTGCTAAGAATTATGCAGACATCACTTGTTCGTCACATGAGAACATAGGTCTGTGTGTGCATTTGTGCTATTCTTTCAGCAGCTGTATTGATTGCGTGTTGCCTAGGTGATAAAACGCTGGTGCTATTGCTTATAGAAGTTATAATATTGAAATCAAAGTGCCAAATGCTGCATTAGTACTGTGAGGTTACAGCCAGTAACTTTATCCCTTTAAGAGGCTGAGCTCCTTTTTAGTGCCTGTTTTTTTGTCCAGCAGAAGTATTGTTTTAAATTGCATCTAAAAGACCAGCTTTGGAAACCACGAAGGGGTTAACGCCTATCCCTCAGCTGTTTCAGACGCTCCAAGCTGCACCGGGCACTTGAATTTGAGGTAGAGTAATTATAAATTGAGGGCTGGACTTTGTAATCCCTTTGTGTCTAGACACATAATTATTTGGGACAGAGTGCGTGTCCTTCTGACAGCCTAACGCCGCCACACCAGAGACTCCATCAGAGTTACAGGGTCCGCCATCGTCTTTTTCTCTTTGGGTTTATTTTTGATGAGAGATTTCTGGAGACTTAGAAGGGCTCTCAGAAGACAGAGACCGCCTTCTTCCCCTAGTGACAACAAGCACTGACTTCCCGGCATTACTTGCAAAAGTCTGATTACAAAATACACATAAGAATCTCAGACATGTGTGTGACTCTGCTGTGCTGCCCTCAGCCACGCCTTGTCTCACTGTTCAGTTTATTCTCTGAATCTCACAGTCAGATGCGGCCTGAGGTTGTCTAGATCACCGTTCCTTCAGAGTGCAGGGGACGAAATTAGTGATCCCCAAGGCCTTCTGGATCTCAGTTCCAGAGTCACAGGAGTTTGAGAGAGGAGTGGTGGGTGCGGGTGCTGCGAGGACAGCGTGCGTGATGTGTGTCCTCCGCCTTATGTGTTGGTTCACATCGCGGCCTCAGTTCTCACAAGAGACACCACAGGCTGGTGGCTGGCAGTTCGTGGCTTATCTTGATGGTGTGCAAATAAGGGTGGCAAGTGGCAAGGGCAGCCTCGGATTCCAGGAGTGTTTCCTGTACTGAGGATCTGGATCACTCAGGCTGAATTCTGGTTCCACCTGATTTCTTGTGGCTTCGCTTGGGTGTGTTTTGTTTTCTGGTTTGATTGTATTTGGAACCCTGTGGCTGTACAAGGCTTTCATCTCTGAAGTGTTTCAATGTATTTGCTTTTCTAGGCTCAAGGTACTTTGTGTTTTGCTGGGTGCGTGCCCATTTGTGAATACTCAGGTGGAAGGGTGCTGGAGTGCAGATGGGACTCGGGCTGCTGGGTGGTCTTGGGGAGCTCTATGTGTCCACACCTGCTCTGGGCCTGAGTCCTGGAAAACCACAGTCTGCTGGAGATGACTTGAAGTCAGTTAGGGCTGAATAAGATGAAAGCAAAGGAATTGCAGGGAAGAGGTTTGGTCTTGGCTGAACTGTTGCCACTGAGGTATGGGAAGTAAGACAAAAATAGGAGGAAGTGACCGAGCACAACTCTGCCTGAATGTTAGGCGTGTTTTCCCTTCATTCCTGCCAAAGACAGCTGCCACCTTATCCCAGGTCACAGGGGGGAGGTTGAGGCTGAGGGGAGGGACGGATGGGTTGAAATTCAGCCCGATTTAGAGGTCATACCAGATCCTTGCGTTCTGCTTGTAGACGTACAGCTTAAATAAAATGAAGGCAGGAACTCAGTCAATATTTATTGTCCTCCTATGCTAGAGCACTATGCTTCAAGGTGGGGAGCATAACACTGATTGAAAAAAATGATTCCCTGGCCAGGTGTGATGGTGCCTGTAATCCCAGCACTGAGGAGGCTGAGGCAGGGAGATTGCTGTGAGTTCAAGGCCAGACTGGGCTACATAGTAGGTTCAAAACCAGCCTGAACTACATAGCAAGACCTTGATCTCAAATAAATAAATAAATACATTAAACAATAACAAAAAAGCCCACAAAAAAGATTCTCATCTTTCACAAAGAATGCAGAAGCAAGAAACATCAAGATCAGTTTGACCCCCTAGCCAAAAGATTTAGTAAGTACCCTCAATGGGCCAGGTACTATGCCAAGTACAGCCTGGTGCCTGACCTTGGGGAACTGTATCATCTCATAAGAGAGACGGGCATGTCAAGGAATTTTTTTTCTGGTACCTGGGGTTGAACCCAGTGCCTCAAGTCCCTCAAGTGCCCCAGTCCCTCAAGATCCTCCTGCCAAAGGCTTCCAAGTGCTGAGTTTACAGGTGTGCACTGCCTCCCTAGGCTTTTCTTTTTTTTAATAACCATACATGATATTACCTGCATTTTCCTCCTGCTTTTGCAGAATATTTTAATTTTGATGTTTAACTTATATTAATCTTTAATCATTTTCCTTTTTTCTTATGCACTTAAGCCTATAACTTCCCTTTTAACATAAAAATCTAAGTCTGGCAAGTTTTATTGTACATTATTTTGTCATTTGGGTCTTAATAGTACGTAATTTTTACTATGTTTTCTTGCTGATTCAAGAATCATTTAGCATATATATTTTCTTTAGTTTCCAAATATTCCAAACTTTTGTGTTGTATGGTATTGAAGGATTTCTTGGAGAAGTGAGTTCATATTTGCACTCACTTTGTTCCAGTAGTGTTCCCTATAAAATATTAATTCTTTGGAATGTTTTGAAATTTGTTTCACTTTATGCATGAATTAATTGAATATTTTTTTAAAAATATCTGTATGCAGGGGTCTGTTTGTGCCTATGATATTACACATGTAAATTGTGTGGGTCAACTATTTTATAATTTTAAACTTTTGTCTGTTTCTCTCATTACTGACTGAGATATGTAAAATCTAATAGTTTATCGACTTTCCTTTGTAACTCATGCACGATTATATTTTATGTGCTTAAGTTTCTAGTGATGAGTACCTGGAGGCCACTGCTCTTTTCTGGTGAGCTGTCAACTTATAAACTACAGTACCAGGGATCGAATGGAAGGCCTTCACACCATCTACCTCTCCAGCCCTTTTTATTTTTTATTTTGAGACTGGTTCTCACTAAAAATGACTTCAGTTTCTCAGGCTAGGATTGAATCTGAGTATTGGAATCACAGCGATGTGCCCTCACATCTGGTTTGGACGATTTGTTTAATCATCAAATATGGTGACTCTTTTATCACTAATAGTGATTTTCATTTTAAACTCCATTTTTCTAATACTGTATCAGTTTTCTTTTCCTGTTATTTACCTATTTCCTTGTCTACTTTTTTTTTTTAAATCTTTGTGTGTTAATGTTAGGAATCTTGGGTAATTGGGATACATTAGGATCTCTTCTAATGGAGAAATTTTCTTTTACCTAGTTAAGTTTGGTTCACTACTTATTGTAAGTTCTGATATTTTTGTGTATGAATTTACTACCTAACTTTATATTTTCTATTTTTCATGCTTTTTTTACTTTTTATTTTTATTTTTTTACTGTGGACTGATACCTTGGTTTTTTTTACTACCCTCCTGCTTTAAAAGTTACAACTTTTTCTTTTCCCATCACAAAAATGTTAAGAAGCTGTGAGGAGTGTCCTTGCCCTCTTAAGGTGCACACCGAATGTCACACTGTGATTCCTGTGGTTGTCTGAAACGTTCCTTTCTCTCTTCAGCTCCCAATCTGCCTGGGTAATTAATACTGTTGCTTTATAGGCAGCGTCCACTTAAATTTACTGGTATTTACTGATCTCTTTACTGATGTCCATTTCTGCATTTGTATTCGACTTTACTCCTTTAAAAAAAGTAACCTATTTTTCCAAAAGTGCATCCTTTTATAATTCATTTAGCACAGTCTGTAAATGTTTTCTGACAGGCTTTTTTTTAGGTGGGGTGTCTTTCCATTGCCTTTGTAAAACCCTGGAATGACATTTATCCTTCAGCATTTCCAACTTTGCTGTGGAGAAACCCACTTTGAGCAGATTGTCCTTTCTAGGTCATAGCATTGCTTTTCCGGCTTTGTGTTTAGATGCTGAGCTTTCTCTAACGTGTTTTAGCATTCATTTATTTCCATTTAAATCTTATTTGAAGCTTATTTGGATTCGGGAGTCTAAATTTTCGTATTTCTGATAGTTTTGGACATTTTCTGCCATACATTTTTAATCGCCTATGTTTTTAAAACAGCCCCAGGCTGGTGTGGTACTTGGCACTGTTCTCCTGAGGACTCGCTGAGGGGACAGGCAGCGTGTCCCCTGTTCTTCCGACAACACTTCCGGTACACTTCCCGAACGGCTCCTCTCCTTCAGCAGTGGAAGTGGGCCTCGGTTTGTCCCTGTGCTGGGTCCTGGGCGCGTGTCATCCTCGTGGTCTGGCCCACGGTGGGGTCCGCTCAATGTCCCTGGGCCTGGGACCTCGGGGGTTGAAGCTCTTAGCGCAGTTGTTGGCTGTACATCCCTGCAGGCCTCTGTCTAGACTGGGTTCAGCCACTAGGCCTGCACGGGGTCAGCACGTGCTGACGTTCTGGGCATGCGCGGGCTGGTCGCGTCCTGATGACGTAAGTTCCTCTCCGCGACCGGCTGTGTGCTCAATGCTCCTCCGCTCCAGGGTTGCTCACGGTTCCTGTTCAGTCCTATTCCGTGCTGTCACTTTATCGGTTTCCATGCCCAGGTGACCTAGGAGCCCTCGCAGCCTCGTCTGCTCTACCCCTGCTCATGTGCCCGCCTGAGTAGCTCCTGGCCTGAGGATGTGTCTCCGCCGCCTGCTGCATTGTGTCTTGGCCAGGCCTGGACCAAGTCGCTTCTGCCTGCCGGTTGCCGTGTGACTTGGGAGGCCGGGCGCGCGCCCCGTGGTTATCACTCTAGTTCAATGGGATGCCCTGCTTGTGCGGTAGGTTCTAGATGGCTCTCAGCGCTGGCTCCCGGGTGCGGCTCCTTCTGCTCATTCATGCTTTGCTATTTTCTTTAATTGAGAAAACTCATTTTCTTAAACTTTGGATGGTGAGTGTTTACCGTTGCACTATAATCCTGTCCATTCTTGGTTGTTAGAGTGTGTTCCAGAGTGTTTTAAAAAACAAACAGAATCAACTTTATTGAAGGATGACTTACTTACAAAATACTTGCATATGTGCATTTAAGGTAACATTTGGTTCGTTTTGCAATACATATATGCTGTGAATCTGTCACTGCAGTTAAAATAATGAAATGATTTCCACCTACCAAAGTTCCTCTTTCCCCTTGAAAGCTCACTTTGTCCTATCCACAGGTAACCCTTTACCTACTTTCTGTTACTCTAGACTAAACTGAATTTTCAGGAATTTTGTATACAGAGAACCATCCAGTATTGTTCTTCTTCTTTTTTGTTTTTGTACTGGGAACTGAACTCAGGACCTTGAGCTTGCCAGACAGGTGCTGTGCCGCTGAGCTATATCCTAGGCCCACTAGTACTCTTTTTATCTACTTTTTCATTCAACATAATTATTTTGGAGCTCATGTATGAATCAGTAGAACCTTCCTTTTTCTTGTGGAATAGCAACTCTTTGTACTGATATGCCAAAATGTGCTTATCCTGTCCGTACACCTGTTAATAGATAGGCAGATTGTTTTCAGTTTCTGCTATCATCAGTGAAGTTGCACATGTGATAGTCTTTGTACGCACACATCCTTTTTCCCCTGGAGAGGACCTAGGAGTGGACTGACCAGATCACCTGTAGATATGCCTCTGGTCTTGTAAGAAACACACACTCCCATCCACTGTGCAGTCCCACCGTGAGCACACAGGGGTCCTTTATCCTGTGCTCTTCTCACCCTTTCCCTGGCTTGTTTTCTGGCTGTGGCTGTGGTAAGAGACTCATGTTTTGAAAACCTCCCAGGAGTACTATTGACAGGGGCACACTGCTCTTTCATAAGAGCTTTTCCAGGCATGGTTTACAGAGGTGCAGTTTTACACCACACCCATTTGTGCTTCCTGGGTGGCACATTTTTCTTTGGATTTTGAAGCAAAGTTCCTTGTCTTAGGCCAGTGGTGCCGTTTTTCTGGTTCTCCTTTCATTGTGCAGGGTGACCTCTCAAAGGTGTAGATTAACACTCACATTCCTGGCCCTGCTATAGTGCCTCTTAGCTGTTTGCACATTCCTCTCCCTGTTTACTCCTTGGGATTTCCCGGGCTCCCTTGCAGGCCTGGTTGTGCAGGAACAATTTCAGCATACTTGAAGGTGTTATTTCTCTGTGTTGGGAGCGGAAGCCCACGTTCAGGTTGTAGCATTACAAATCTGCGCTCCTGGGTAATCTGATGAATATGCAAGGTCGCAGTATTCAAAATTACAACGCCCAGAACATTTCCTTGGACACTTGGTTTTGTGGTGCTTGGGTGTGACAGAAAGAATGTCACTGGTGTATTGTAGACTGCATAGACATAGGTGTTGCCTAGGAAGTGAGCCAGGAGGAACTAGGGACTGAGTTCCTCACAATGCAACTACAAGGGAAAACTGTAATGCAGCTATTGTGGAATGCACACTACATTGTTGAATCTATATTCATAATCTTAATGCACACCCTTGTTTATAGATTTGTTTGGGTATAAATAGATATATTTAAACATTATAAATAACATGCTCACAGTTAAGTACATTTCTCACTGAAATTTACCCTTCCAGTGATTTAGTACCAGGCAGCAAATTTTCATTCTGTTCACTTCCTTAAAGCAAATGTGGAAATTATGCTTGGTACCTTCCTCTTCTCTTCTGTTTTTGACACTTCAGTGTGATAAATGTACACTACTAAATTACATCTCAGAATTACTTGTATTTTGGGAAAGAATATCTGTTTGAGAGAACGTTTAACTTGGTGTCTCACACATGTGGTGCACATATCCCTGGGGAAACATATTTTGGGTGTGTTATAGTTTGTGTCTGGATGTCCCCGCAAAGCCTCATGCAGTGGTGTGGTGGATTCTAGAGTTTGTGATTGACTCATGGTCCCATGCTGGGATTATGGGTGTGAATGCTATACCCACCCTAGGGCAGGTATCCTGCATACAATATAAGGGAGCGAAAGAGGCTTCCTCTTTCTGCTCCTCCCTTTTTTCTGTTGTTGCTTTTGCTCTTTTCTGCACCATGAACTATTGCCCTTTGCCATGTGCCACTTTGCCTGGGAACCAGCTGAGTATGCACTGAAACCTTCACAAACTGTGAGCTAAATAAACCTTTCCTCCTTTAACTTTGGGTCTCAAATATTTTGTGTCAACAACGAGAGAAAAGTAACCAAGACGGGGTGGTACCGAGGCACCTGTTTTCCTAACAAGTAGCTGTTCATTTCAGCCCTTACAATTAACACAAAAAGGCACTGATTCTTGAAGATTATTGTGAAGGATAATACTAAATGCAAAACTGGGCCAAATAAAAATTATTATAAAAACAGTGTGGTTGGAACATAGAGATAGCAGAAACTGTGGCCATCATTCATATGTGGTTCTTTGAAGATTGGAAGCATTGTTTTATGGAAAAGACTTTCTTTTCATTAGCAGACTTCAGTATTTGTTACATAGGTGAGTGACACTCCTAGAAGAGATGTCTGTGTAGCTGTGTTCACATCTTAACAGCGTGGACAGCTGCCTCCTAAGAGGCCAAGCTGGCTGTGGGTCAGGTCGAAAGCAAACCATGTGGAGGCGTTTCAGGGTAGGAAGATTTCCACCTTCTGTTAATCAGCACCAATGAGTTGAAGGAAAATCTACTCTTTGGTCATAGATGCACTGGGCACAGTCCTTTCAGTGTCTGATAATTATCTTGTCCTTTAATGGGTGGTGAGGCAAACACATCATAAATTAAAGTATGCATCATCCTAAATCCACGGGTATGTGACTGGTTCCCCCACACCAAGAGATGATCTGTACCCTCTCCTCTCTGTATCCAGGATTCAGGCAGCATGAGGACCTCCCTGCAGGCTGTGGCGCTGTGGGGAAAGAAGGCCCCTCCGCACAGCATCTCTGCCATCATGATCACCGACGACCAGCAGACCATTGTGACCGGAAGCCAAGAGGGTCAGCTCTGCCTCTGGAACCTCTCACCTGAGCTGCAGGTGGGTGAAGCAGACAGCGTCACACCTACACCCCGCTCGCTGCTTCCACCCGCAGGCACAGCTGTTGTCAAAGAGAGGCTTGCTCCAGTAGTACATTGGTTTCACTTGTGAATTTAGAGAAAGTATTAGACAGTAAGCAAAGATGTATCAAAATTATATTATGAATATTGCTAATCTTAGCTACCAGCTAAGTATTATGACCCTTTAAGCTATGCTGAGTCTTACTACTTTATATTCTGAATTATACATTTAAGTAACTGAACTACAGCCACGTACATGTAATTCTGAATATCATGGCTCATTAATGTAAACACAGGGCCCCCTTGGAAGCTGCCATGAACCGAATGAGTAAAATCTTAATTACTTGGCTGCTCCCACTGGCTTGGCCCCCTTGCTATTCTCTCAGTCTCTGCTTTCCTGAGATTTTTACAGATCCCATCAAATGGCTCTAAATCCAATTTACTGTTGTCCTCCTCCTCCTTCAGAAACCTGGCCTCACCTAGGATTTGGCCCATCGATTGGCAATTAATTGTCTCTGTCCGAAGTCATAAACATTTAACATATTGGAATAGATATTTGCTTAACTCTACCCGGCTCTAGACCCAATTTGGACATTTAAACTAATGATGTGCTTAAAGTATACTGCCCTCATTAAGAAGCCTTTTAAAGATCAAAGACTATTTTTAGACTTTAATGTCTGTCACTTTAAAACCTAAATTAACAATTAATTGTAATTCTATTTTATAGTGTAATTAATTAACATCTCCCATCGTGGATCAGCTCGGCTCCAGGACTGGAGAACCGCCCAGCAGAGCAGCTCAGCTGGTGTCTGTGGCTCCTTGAGAGAGGAGTGCTCTTTCTGTGGTAGCAGTCACGCTCTGACCATGGTGGCCCATAGGGGTCTGGAAATACACATTTCATGTCGAAGTTTAAACCCAAACCTCTAATGGCTTCAAATGCCATGCTGATCTTTTATAGCTGGAGTGGTTTGCTGGCAATGTGTAGGTCAGTTAAGCTAAGCACTATGCAACCCTAGGACCCTGTCGTTTTTTCATCTGTCTCTGTGTTTATCCAGCATCTGTCCCACATGCTTGTGTTGAGTGTGTGACACTGTTCGGTTGCTGTGAGCGTCCCGGGACGTAACGGGTGGTGGGGAGAGGATATGGGTGGTTGTGCAGCTGAACTATGTGCCCTGGAGTGTGACGGTTGGAACAGGTGGGGTGCTGCTGGCTGAGATGGGGCTCCCCAGCTGCCCAGGAGGAGGCAGAGCTAGGGCTTTGATGGTGACTCTCATCAGCCACAGAAACTTTTCTGATTTCTGATTATCAGCCACAGAATATTTCTGATTATGACAGAAATGATGTGAAGAAAGGGGATAATTACGTTATGAAACATTTTATCCCCATTGATATGGCTGGGTTATCATCCATATATATGTGGGTAGATTCAGAAAAATAGAGTGGATATTAACTCACTTGGAATACAGATTTTTTTTTCCTGCTCATTCAAATTAACTTTTGGTCCATTATTGTTCTTCTCCATGTAAGGAGACCTTATCTATTTTCTATTTTGTAGTTTAGTTTTCATAATCTTGCTTTACAAAATAATGATGAATATTTTTTTCATGCATGAGAAAATAAAAGAACTAGAGCACTTAGTGTCATATTTTTAAACTTCTCATTTAGGAGAAAATCATCAGTATTTTACATAATAATTTAGCTAAAATTTTTTTATTTGCCAAAAATTTTACAATTTCTGAGGGGGGAAGTCCAATGAAGTATTGTTTGAATGTTTCAGTAGACATTACCTTATAGCAGTTTCAGGCTCATAGCAACGGAATGGGAGGGACAGAGAGCTCCCACTTGATGTTCCTATGCTCACGGTTCCCCACTGCCACCGTGCCACACGGGGACTAGAACTGCTTACCTGCAAGGAGTGGACACGTCACTGTCACCAAGGCCATTGGTGCGTGCATGTTGGCCCCTCATGATGTGTGGTACAGCCTGTGGGTTGTGACATGTGTTCCCTGGCACCCTTGATGGGTGTCATGCAGCATTCTGCCCTAAGACCCCTGTGCTCCCCTGCCTGCCCACCCGGCGCCCTCTGTGCTGTGGGGCTTTCCTTGGTTGCTATTTCCAGAACGCCCTGAAGTTAGAATTGCACTATATGCAGACTTCCAGGTTGGCTTCTTCGCTGAAGTAACGCACACTTCGGTTTCTCTGTGTCTTTTCGTGGCTTGATAGCTCATTTCTTTTTGGCATTGTGTTCGTGTGCACTGCCTCAGTTTACCTGTTTGTCCACTGGTGGCTCCCCCAAGTTGGCGCCTATGAGCGATGCCACTGTAGATGTGCGCGTGCTTTGGTGTGGGTGCCATATGGATGCCCACAAACATCCCGGTGCCCTTCACAGTGGGAGGGTGTGGCAGCTCACGGGGAGCAGCTCAGCTTTGCACCTGCAGCAGCGCTGGTGAGAGTGCGTTCCTTCCCTGGTCTTCTGCACTGCAGAGCTTGCCCATTTATTTAGTGGGTCATGTGTGTCACCGGGGTTCAAACTCGCACTTCCCTTAGACACAGGATGTGGCCCATCTTCTATGTTCATTTTCAATCCACGTATTCTTTGGAGAGTTATCTGCTCAGATTCTTTGACTTTTCAAGTCAATATTTCATCCTCCTATTAGGGAGTTTCAAGGATTACGTATTTTTGGTAATAGTCCCTTAACAGATGTCTTTTGCAGCTATTTCTCCCAGTCTGTGGCCTGTCTTCCTCCCTCTTCTCTTGGTGTTTTGTTTGTCTTTTTGTAAATGAGAAATATGTATTTACTTTAGAAATTTTATGTAAAATAGATAATCTAGAAATGAAATATGCTCTAAATAGCAGATCTCTGGTCTATAATAGAATTTTATTTCTCTTTCTTTTAGCTTCATCAAGGTATCACGGACAAATAAAACTATCTTTAGGATGTAAGTGTGAGACTGCTGTGAGGTGGTTACACAGTCACGCCGATTCCCACGTGGCCCCTGTGTAGTTACTGTGGTTTGGGCATGGGAGAGCGCTTGAGCTCTCTCTCAGCAGATTTCCAGCGCACAATATTGTGTAGCTGTATTGTTGTTGTGCTGCTGAGAATGGACACAGGGCCTTCCGCATGCTGAGCGGACTCGACCCCCAGCTGCTCTTCCCCCCCCCCTCGAAGCAGTGTTATTAGCTGTTATCACCACGCCACACCCGAGGCCCTGCTGAGTTCACCTCCATGGCGGTGTTTCAGCCCTTTGACTGCCTCGCCCTTCACCTGCAGTGGCCGAGCTGCTGCCCTGCTACTGTGGGTTGGGCTAGCTGGGGTTTGCAGTACAAGTGAGTTCGCGAGTGTGTCTTCGCTCCTCTGGCTTGTGTCCTTAGCCTGGTGCCCTCCGGTGCACGCCTGCTCTCACGGGGCAGGACGCTCTGCTTTTATGAATAACTGTACTGTAGGTGCGCGTGCATTCTCCTTCTGCACCTGTCCACAGGTGGACACCTAGGCGCCCGCTGCATGGCCGTTGTGAAGATGCCGCAGGGCACCCAGGTGCAGAGCCCCACGGACTCTCGTTTCCGCCCTGTGGGTCTGTGCACAGACGCGGGCTGCGGGTCCTGGGCTCACATTCGTTACAATGGTTTGGAGAGTTGTCCGCTTGGATCCCCACCCTGTTTTCCAAAATCCCTGTGCGGACTTACATTCCCTCCAGCCGTGAGGTATCTGAATAGTCACAAAGGGTGATCTTTTCTCTGTGTTGTTTTGCAAACTCATTTCCCTTCTGAGAGCTGTGCACCATGGCAGTTATCCTGGCGCATCCCCATGTAAGAAGCATCAACACGGCCTTATTTGTATTCAAAACATCCATGGGGTCAGAGGGGTCTGGGGTCCTCCGCTTTCGTGACCGACTCCAAACCAAAACAGCGGAGAGCTGTGCAGCACGGTTTCTCTGCGCAGAGGTCTGCGAGTCTGTGCGCGCTGATGAGCTGTGCGTCAGTTTTCCTGGAGCTTACGTGTGGAAAAGCGTGACACAGATGGTTTTCCTCACCAGCGCGCATGGTGGGCTCTTTCTATTTTTCAGTTTCCAGTGTTGTGAAAGTTTACTGTCCTTTCAGATCTCAGCTAAAGAGCTCCTCTTCGGTCACTCGGCGGCCGTGACATGCCTGTCCAGGGCGAGGGACTTCTCCAAACAGCCCTACGTCGTCAGTGCTGCTGAGAACGGGTGAGCGAGGTCGCGGCGCGGGACTGCCTCCTTCACCCTCTCCAGTGAGGGCCTGTGGTGGGGGCAGTTTTGGGGCTCAAGGAAGTTCCGTGACCGCCGTGTTCCTTGCGCAGAGAGGGAATGCAGAAGTGGAGTAACTTGTGTGTGGGTCCCCAGCAACAGACTCAGTCTCGTGAGTCTCGGGGTGACGCCCGTGCTGCTGGATGAGAACTGAGATAAACCCCACAGCACACCTCCAACATGCACACCACAACCCCAAACGAAAGAGAAGGAGATCCTGAAGACAGACACATCATTCACAAAGGCGTCTTAAACACAGGCCCGCTTCCCACCAGGAGAACTAGACAGCAGCGGGCCCCCCTCAAGGCTGAGGAGAAAATATCTATCACCTCCGAGCTCCAGACCCACCAAAGACGTCTCACTTCCTAGGGCCAATTATAACTATCTTGGTTACTTTTCTCTTGTTGCTGAGACAAAATACCCAGTGCCCAAAATGAAGGAAGGAAAGGTTATTTAGGTCACAGTTGGTGGAGGTTTCAGTCCATACTGGCTCCAAGGCAGGGTGGCGTGGCACAGGGGCAACTGTTCAAGGTGGCAGAGGACAGCAAAAATAACAAGAGCAAAAGAGGGGAGAGCAAGCCTCTTTCCCTCCCTTGTATAGTATGCCGGCCATCCACATGGGTAGGGGTAGCACTCACACCATCTCTGTGCGCTCCTCCTGCACAGAGTGAGGATGTTTACAAAGTGAGGACCTGGCCCCCTGCTGAGTTGCTTCATTAAACTTCTAAACTTCTCAAGTTGACACAATGTATCAACCATTATAAAAACCTTTAAGACAAATATTAAGAGTGTAAACTGGCACGCCATGCATAATGAAGTTCTAAGATTCTTCCAGAATAAGAGTAATGATTTCAGAGGGAAGAGCAGAGATGAAAGAAGGAATATTGAGCAGAGCCCAGCAGAGGCTTAGAAAATGTGGAAAAGCAGAGTGCAGTGCTCACACTTGTCTGCCCTCTCTGCAGCCACGGCGCTCGCAGCCACGGCGTCCTTGTGCCCAGTGTCCGGAAGATGTGCACTGACAGGCTCCCGCTGCCATCTGAACAGAGAAAAGGAATAAAATCAAGAGTACTAGAGTGTGTCTAGCTTCCAATTTCATAAAGAAACGAGTTGCTTAATGTCAAGAAAACAGCAGAAGAAATCGAAGGATGAGGCAAAGAGAAGCACACAATAACATAGTTGAAATTAACCTGGATGAAACAATAATTCCAATTACATAATGGGATAAAGTCTTCCAGTTAATTTACAAAGATTGTCAGGCAATTGAAAAAATAAAAACAGTATAAGAACTGTGGAAAATTGAAAATGGATGAAAAACATTTACGTGATATGTCCTGGCCAAAATAAGGTTGATATGGCTGTATTAATATCTCATAGTAATGAACATATCGTTAATAAAACTTGAAGGCAGGCAGTCAGGACACTGTTAGAGAGGGTTATTACTTCGTAAGAAACCTTTCAAACCAGGTGTGCAGGCTCACTTCTGCAGTCCTAGCTTCTTGAGAGGCTGAGGCAGGAGGATCTCAGGTCGAGGCCAGCCCTGGCAACTTGGTGAGATGCTGTGTGTGGCTGAGTGCTCTGAGTTGATTCTTTCAGTCCCCAGCCAGAGGTACAGGCAGAGACGTGTGTGCTGGGCCTCCGGGGCAGCGCTCCTCACACCTACACTGAGCTGCTTCCTCATGCCTGCAGAACCACTGTGCAGGTTTTGCCTCCCGCCCAACGCGGCTCCGGCTTCAGCTGGTATGTCGAGCGGTAACACTTGGCCCCAGCCCCAGTCCTCTATCGTGCTGCACCCCGAGAACACACCTGGGCTGTCGGGTACCCCACCGTCTGGGGTTGGGGTAAGCTAGGGGTCTCACCAGGAAGGACGCCTTCACTGAGCCAAGAGGGCATGGAAGTGCTGTCCAGCGGGAGCGTGAGTGGCTCCAGGCCCGGTGTGCCCAGGAAGAGGCCCTCAGCCAGGCCGCCGGGAATTCACCCAGACAGAGCTGCCATGCACCCAGCAGCTTATGAGGCGAGCAGAGATGATTCCCTGTGAGCTGGAAGTGTGGGAGGTAAGAGGAGATCCAAGGGAGCCAGCGCTGGAGAGGCTGAGGGAGAAAAGGAGCCCAGCTGGCAATGCCAGGGAATCAATCGCACAGGTCCAGAGGAGGTGAGGGCGAGGGCTGGGTGGGCAGCAGACCCCAGGGAGGTGGCCCCGGCCCAGCAAGCGCCCTTATCCCCCGGCCCTGCCACGTGCAAGGCTCAGCAGAGCAGTAGCTGTGCCGTGAGCAGCTATCCGAGAGCGAGGGGCAGGGCCAGCGGGCAGCAGCGGTATCAGGAGCAGGCGGATGTCCAGGGCAGGGTGGCAGGTCCGGCTGTCCTTGCTCCATGGGGTCCATGGACCTGCGGAGTGGCCTGCAGCCAAGGCGCCGAGGTCTCCATGTGAGAGGGGCCGCAGACTCTTTCCCCGGGGCCTCGCCTGAGTCTGCCGATTTCCTGATGTTTGCTGTGGGTGTCCCCTCTGCCTTCTTCCTTTCCTTGAAGTAAAAAGAGCTAAGAAATTTGGAAATTGGTAAACTTAATTTTTCAGTATTGAAGGTGATCTTATCTGTGTACAAACCCTTGGCATCGTTCTTGTAAGTGACAGAAAAGAATATGCATCTTAACAGAGTTCAGTTCCCGTCCCATGTGTAACCTGTGCAGTTCTAGCGAAAATGCCGGGGCAACTTTTCGTACGCCCCAGGTTTGCTTTTTTTCTTAGTGCTGCTAGGCTGAGTGCTTTCGCTTTCTGATACTTTTGTTTTCCAAATTTATAATAGAACACCAGGTGGTCAGGAGACAGGGAAAGCGTGGGACTTAAAAAGCGTGTTTCTGGGGACGCCTTTCCTAAAGCCCTCTCCAGCCAGAATGGTGACGACGCGACTGAATTAGGCTGAGTTGAGGTCTGAGTGGGGTCCCGGCCGTCAGTGTTGTTTCCTGGTCAGTCCGGGTCCAGCCGGAGTTTCGAGGTGCTGGTTGAGAGCCAGGCGCACCTGCACACCGGCTGAGTGGCCAGGACCTTTCACTGCCACACCTCCCAGGGCCCAGCCCCAGCTGCGGAGCCTGAGGCCTGGAGGGAGGTTTTGCTGGGGACCGGATGATGGAAGAGTTGAAAACCACACTGTGAACCTCAGTTCCCTCGCACAACTACAATTCTACATTGCTGGCCGCCGAGGGTCAGTTTACCTGTGAAGGGCCCTTGTTTGCCTTCTAGAGGTGTTAGAGACCATGCCTTTGAGATATAGTGTTTTAATTTCTATCAGAAATCTTGCCATGTATGTACACACACACACACACACACACACACACACACACACACAGGTTTTCCCTCCTGTTTCACAGGTACATGTGTTTTCAGGTGACAGCAGCCCCTTTTGGAAGATGAAGGAATATGAGTAGAGGGGAAAGTTACGCCCTTTGGCTTCTGTCCCTAGGACGCCTCCCGCCACAAAAGTGTTTGGCCTGCACAGCCCTTTGTTGTGGAGCAGAGCTGTGAAAGGCAGGGCGCCTGCGCCTTCCTGGTCTCCCACTAGATGTCAGCAGTGTGTCCTGGTGGTGACCTCGCAACTGTGGGACCCGCTAAGTGCCCTTGGGAGGAAGCAAGGGAGGGAGCCTGGGATAAAACTGCCCCAGTTTAAAAACCGCTGACGTAGAAGGCGGCTCCTGAGTTGGCTAGGAAAGCGTGAAAGCCTGCGAGTCCCCCAGTTCACACAGCATTTGACAGTGTCGGTCTGTATCGTCTGCCTCTGAATAACCACATTCCCTTTAATGCCGACAAAACACTGGCTTTTCTTCTATGGAAAGTGTCCCCTCCGTGTTGAACCATCCACACTGGAAAGTGCCACCAAACCACCGAACAGCCACTCTGGTGGTGTGAGCGGAAGTGGCACCGAGGGAAGGCGGCTGCCTCTCCTGTGGACAGTCCCTGCACTTTGTAGACGTGGTCTGTGACTGTGTAGAGGCTGTGGCTTTGTAGATGCGGTCTGTGTCTTGTAACACACAAAACCAAGGAAGCGTTCCCAGGGCATAGAGCCTTCCCAGTATTAAGCGTAAGGCTGATTTCAGGATTTCAGATAAGGACCTGAGATATGAACAACCCCGGTGATACACCACGTGGGGCCTCTTGGTGGCGCTGTTTGTTTTTACAAGAAGGCCACCTCAGCCCCAGAACCCCAGCCCTGGCGTGATGGCGCACTGCTGGTTACAGTCACAGAGGATGCAGCTTAAGTTCAGTGAAATGAACCATGTTCCAGAGGATGCTGTTTTGCGGAGCCTGCGGTCTTGTCACTCTCAGGGCTTTGCAGCGGGCCACAGCCGGGCTGGCCCTGCATCGGTGCTGCGGTCCGGTGGCAGGGTGTCATTACCCAAACAAGGATGCAGAGACAGTGTCAGCCCCGTAATGACCACAGCGTTTTCCCGCCCAGGAATCTGTAACAAAAAGCCACATAAATGATCAGGTAGCACTTAGTACCGCACTAAAGAAAAATTTGGTTGGACCAAAATTGCTGCAGCCAGTGAGTGGAAATGACAGAAAACGATGCCGTTGTCTCTCCTAGGGAGATGTGCGTGTGGAACGTCACCAGCGGACAGTGCGTGCAGCAGGCCACCCTCCCCTACCGGCACACTGCCATCTGCGTGAGTCCCGTCCCCGTCCCCATCCCTGGTGCTGCTGGACTCTGTGGGCTCTGCTCTGTCCAGAGCAGAGGCCCTGTGCGTGCTGAGAGAGTCTCTGGAGGATGTTCTTTCCTTGAATTTTTATTTGCTCTTGAGGTTAACAGAGCTTTTGTATATAAGAAGTGGGGAGAGGCTGAAGGTGGGGGAGGAGTGGGGAAAAAAGAAGCAGCAAGGTATATTATATACAGGTACTAATTCCCTCCGATGCATGTTATCCTTATGTATATGTAAGATGTACTAATAATTTTTTTAAATGCAAAAAAAATCCCTAAAAAATCCTCAGTCACCATCTGCTATTTTGGCATTATCTTTCTCAAAAGACATTGCTCAACAAAATTTTCCTCCTCATTCTCTCATTTCCATGTCTTCTCTTCGAAAGGCGGCGTGTGGGCTTTCCCTGTGACCCTCAGGAAACACGCACTTCACCGGTCGGCGTCAGAGTGGTGTTTCACCGAGCGGACACATCCCCTCCTTTTCATTCTGACCTGTTTATTTCACTCTTCACTTGTGAATTTGCTCACTTGTGTAAAGAGAGCCAGAGGTGCTGCCACGACCTTTAGAATCACTTTGCAGTTTTTGGAACAGATTTTGAGTGTTGGTGGGCAGATGCCCACATGTGCGAGGTTGCGGCCGGGTTCCATCTGCACCGACAGCCGGTTTTTTATTTTGTGTGTTACTTTGTGATGCGTTGGGTCCTAACATTTGCAAACTCTATGCTGTTTCCTTGGGCCACGACCCTACTTGGGGAGGGAGCCCTCTGAAGGTAGGACGTGCTGCGTAATCTTTAGCAGAAGTCATTTCCAAGACTCGCTTGGCACAAGACGTTCTCTCACCTTCTCCAGACACTTTCACTGCTCCTGTTAACATGAGTCAATGTTGCTACGGCAGAGAACCTGGCTCTTGTTGCTGTTTAGCTCCGGAAACCTCATACCTGTGAGCTTTCTATGATTTAGAATACTTCTTTCCAAAAGGTCCCCCTTTCTTCAGAAAAATGAAAAACACAAGTCCAACTAAAGTACAAAGTCAACATTGTACGAGATAATCTCGAAGAAATTTTAGTTGCTGTTCCGTTTAATGCCCTCACTGAATAGATGCTAAAATTAAAATCGAGAGAAGTCTTCAAAACCAGTCTTCTAAACCAGGTGTGGTAGCTCACACCTGTCAGCCTAACACTCTGGGAGGTTGAGACCGGAGGATCACAACTTCAGGGCCAGCCTGGGCTACATAGTGTGACCTTGTTTTAAAATAAAAATAAAAATAAAAAAGTACTGGGGATACAGCTTCCCACTGGGCTCTGGGTTCAATCTCCAGTACCACAAAATGAAACTCCTGCCAGGCCCTGTTCGTGCTGGTGACAGCTGCGCCTTGCTCTGGCCTCTCGTGCAGTATTACCACTGCTCCTCCCGGATGCCGGGCGACGGCTGGCTCCTGTGCTGCGGGGAGTACCAGGACGTCCTCGTCGTGGACGCCGAGACTCTGGCCGTCGTGCACACGTTCGTGTCTTCTCAGTCCCCAGACTGGGTCACCTGCATGTGCGTGGTGCACTCCGTGCGGGTTCAAGGTAACGGGTGTCGCAGGCGCTGCGGGGTGCGCGTGCCAGCCTGCTCCTCGCAGCTGTCAGCGGGGGTCAGCGCTCTGCGCGTTCCGCACAGGAGAGTCTGTGAGCGGGTCGAGGACAGCGTGAGCCGTGGCCCGGGCCCATCTGAGTCTCCCTGTCACCAGGGAGAGGCCAGTTCTTTGTGGGGCAGAGGGTTAAGTTGCTTAGCGTGGCAAGAAGGAGGAGGAGGAGGAAGCTCCATCCTTGCAGCCACCGGCTTGAGGGATGTACAGCGTGGCTCCCTGTGTGGTCTGGAGCAGGGCTTCAATGTCACCAAAGGCCTGGCAGCATGGGGCTCTCCCTCTGCACAGGGACACTTTATCAGCCTGGAGCTTGACATGAAATGATTATTTTTCATTGAGAACAATGGCAAGTCGAGTGTTGTCCACCTCCAGAGCCCCGTGCAACTCCTGCAGGACACGGAGTTGTTCCTGCAGCCCACACTGAGCACACGTGTGACCTCTGTTTCTCTTCCAGGGGATTCTCTGCTGGCGGTGACGGTGACTGGGGATCTCAAGGTGTGGGACCTGTCCTCGTCCATCTCCAGCATCCAGGTGGGTTGGAAACCACCCTTCCCTGGCTTACGCACACTGATGCACATTTTAAAATCATAGCGGTAATACATGCTCAGTGAAAAATGGAAGTGAGGACTCTTACCTCTGTCTCCACCCCCACCTGTCCTTCGGGTGTGGGGGTTGCATCTCTGCGACCTGGATCATGACTATAAATATTGAGTGC